TTTGCTTCCACTTCCTTCCAACCTGTCTGTGTCCTGTGTTTTTATTGCAGATAAGACCTTGAGCTTCTGAGGCAGGCAGAGCTGGGTTCAAGTCTTATTTTCTGTAGCAATGTGAGCAAAACAATGTCTCTATACCCTTTCTTGCCCCATTAAATGGGGAGAACACCTACCTGGTGGGGTTTAATATCTGGCAGGTGTTTATTGGTGGCTGCTAATAGAAGCCCTTGCCTGTTTGGCCTTTGAAAATTTCTAAGGCATTTTCACATCCAGTAGCCAAACTTAGCCTTGATTTAAAGAGGGGCAAATGTTCTTTAAAGATTTAAAGGCTGGTTTGGAGGGAGAGAGGTGCTTTGAGCTGCGGTGTTAAACAGCGGATTAGGCTTACAGTCACTGTGGGTGGAGGGGCTGCTTCTCCAGGCAGCTGTTAGTGGGGGTCTGTCTGGGTCTCTCTATCATGGGGAGCAGAGGTGGTAAATTTCTATTCTATTTTCCTGAGTCTTTTTCTAAGATTGAGCTGGCATAGATACTCAAAGGCCATTTAAACCCGAGGCAAGCCCAGGTCAAAAAGACTGGGAGATTCTGTCTTTCTTTCTCCAGTTCTGGTACTGAGCTCTGGGGACCCCTGAGGATTGTCTGGGGTCCTGAGAGCCAGAGCGGGGAGGAGTGTCCTAAGGAGAACTGGGAGGAGCTGGCAAAAGCACTGGCCCTTGCTGGGGGCAGCATAGTCCTTCAAAGCCCAGTGACCATATGCTGAAGGTCAGTGGCCCCTGAAAGCTCAGACATCTGTAGAGGTTGGGCAGGACCAGCGAGGCTCCAGAAGGCACTCAGTCTACCTTGGGTGCAAAAGACAGGCAGTTGTGCCCGAGTGAGGATGATCCTGTCACCACCCTGCTGCTCTTGTCTGTGACCTCGGGGCTTTAGATGAAGGAACGGAATGTACATGTGCACAGCATGGCCCTCATTGCACCTCTGTCATGTCCTCGTGGCTGGGCATCAAAGACCCAGAGGTGCTGTGGGAATGAGGTAAGGCCTGTGCTGAGAGATGATTCTCCTGACTGTGGGCCAGGCACGGGCATGCACTTGTTTGCCTTTAACTCTTATGACAGCCTGGAAAAAAGCTATAGTAATGGCGAATCAGTGCTAAGACTTTGAACTCTGGAACCCCAGCTCTTCCATTCGCCAGCTTGTGACCTAGGGCAAGTTGCACTGTCCTCTGTTTCCTAGCCTTTGAAATTAGCTTGATGGTAATCCAAGATTTTGTTGTGCAGATGGAATGGGGTCTTAGCTAGTCACAGTCTGATGCCTATTTGGTTTCCAATGAATGTGGATTTCCCTGATTCGGCTGCAACCCACAGGTGTGCCCCTTCCCTAAATTGGGCATCAGCGGCTCGCTCAGATCTCCTTGAGAGCAAATGTCTACCTCCAAATCATGTAACAACTCCCGGGCAGCAGGAGCAGTCCCCTCCCATGCCCCCACAGCTTCCAGATCCGGGAAGTACAGCTCTGTTCCCCTTCATCCGTCCTCTGGTACTGAGCCCCAGTGTGGAGAACCTGGGTTCTAGGCATGGGGGGCTGAGCTGACAATATGTTCACTGTAATTAAAGATAAGCACAATGAGATCCCCTAATATTTCATCACCACCAATGACTTAATATTTTGTATATGGCATTTCTTGACTTTCCCCCTTGCATTTTTATCTATGAAAATAAATGTTGTATATGATATGATCATATGTATTCTGCTCTGAAGCATATCCTCCCCACCCCTTAACTTGGAAATCTAGATGCTCTAATTTGGGACTTAGGGGTGAGCAATTGGAGCTAGGAGGCTTGAGGATGAGTGTGCAAGCCAGTGGGTTGGAGACCTATTTGCATTAGCCCCTTTATGCCATCTATCTTTTGGCTGTGGTTTTGTCCTCCTTCATGCAGCCCTCCCGGTTTCTCCCAACACACAAGAAACCATTGTTAAAACCCTGTATTGCTGTTGGGGACTGTGTTATCTTTTTGGAACCAAATTGCTGGAGGTTACAACATGTACAAAGTCTATTCATAGCATTGTACACAGGACTGAACACTTGGTGGATAACCAGCTCTTTCTTCTCTCCCTCCCTCAAGCTCTCAATTTGTTTCAGAGGAAGAGAATCAAGAGAAGGGTCAAGAGGTGGAAACTGACTAATCTGAGCAGAAAACTCCCTTCTGCACTTGGGTCTTGCCCTCAAGCAGTTACCCCAGGTGCTTCGCATACCTCCCTTCCCAGAGAACCTGGCACTGCTACTGGAAACTCTCTGTGTCACAGAGAAGAGAACCTGCAGGGTCTTTGTGTGGCCAGAACCCTGCGGACATTACTTTTACTGCTGTGCCCATTAAATTCTGGACTGCAGAAGAATGGAGAGGCCAGTGTTGAACACCTTTGTGTGAAATGAGCATCCCCGTCCTGGGCTAGACTGGTCTCTCCCTGCCTCCCACCTGGGAGCCTTGCCAGCCTGCACCAGTGTGGACCTGCGGGCCTGTGTGGGGAAGGTGTGGGGCCTGAGGAGCAGCAAGAGAGATGGTCAGTGGAGAGGGAGGGATTGCAGAGTCCGTCTAGGCACATTTGGTGGCAATGGGAGCTATTGTAACAAAAATCCTGGCCTTGGCTTCAGGGATGTATGTTTGAATTGTCTCTGACCCAGCTCCCTCCGGGCATCTGTGGCATCCCCTTCTCCTTCCAGCCTCAGGGATGAGTGTTTGGGCAACAAGGGGTCAGCCGATTCAAGTTTTCTAATGCTTTTTGTGGTGTGATGCTGATAAACGGGGTTTCCCAGGAGGGAATCTGGGGGTTTTAGGGAGGTCTTGCTTTTTCTCTTCATGGTTTGCCTGATTTTGCTCTCCTGCAGTGAGTCCTGGCTCCCCAGCACGTGTGCAGTGGGTGAGGATTTTACCCATTTATCCATGGATCTGCGCCGGAGCCCTGACTGTGTCCTTGATGGAGTCACAGAACTTCTCCAGGCCTCAGTCTCCACCTACAAAATGGACAGAGAGTAGCGATTGTGTTGGGTGACTTTGAGGATGAAATGCAAGTACCACCACCATGTCTGGGCATAGTAAATCTGCAGCTCATGCCAATGTCCTGTCATCTTCACCTTCATCATCTTTATCTTTGCTATTGTTGCTATTTACCAGCTGCCTTCTGTAGCTCCAGGAAAGGGTCCCCCAGATTCTGAGTGGGTGGCATAGCATGGCCTGTTCAGGTAGCCGAGGTGTACACCAGCCCAAGGCGGGGGGACCCACACTAGATCTGCCAAGACCTCCAGCTGGCTTTGTGCAGGCGCCCTGGGGACTTGCTTGTCCACCCTGTGGCTTATGTGGGGGTGAAGAGGATTTCACCCGCATGGCACCTGGCCCAGTGCCTGCATGGTCCTCAGTGGACCCTAGGCCACAGTGTTGCGGTCATTGCCATGGCAACCAGCCACCACTGAGGCCATGCTGCAGAGTGATAAGTGGTGGGAGGCAGAAGATCGCGACATGAATGGGCTATGGACTTCAGACAAGTCGCTCAACCACCCTAGCCCTCAATTTTTTCCTCTGTATAACGGGCAGCACCACCCCCTTCTCACAGTTGTTGGGAGATTAAATGATCATTGCACAGTTAGGATGATGGTACAAATTGAAAAGACTGAGACAGTCCAGCCCAGATGGGGTTCCTTCACACGCCTGTTCTCCTCCAGGGTCCTCTCTTTACTGGGGACCATTGTCCTATCTCCACACCAGTGGGAAGCAGAGGAAGATCTGGATGCCTACCCTAACTCTGCTCCTGGTCCCAAAGCCTTCAGCTCTAGGTAGCCCTTGGCCCCAGGCTGAGTTGACCAGATGTTGACAGGAAAACTCACCAGGAAGGAACACACACCTTTTCTTTTTTTTTTTTTTAATTAAAAAGAAAATAAGAAAACCAAACACACATCCCAAGGTGTGCCTCCACGAAACATTATAGGCACGCAAATTACGTACAAAAACAAGAAAAAGAAATGCCAGGAGTTGCTGCTTATACCCCATGCGGGGTCCACGGAGCCCTGCCTGAAGGCACTGCCCTCTCAGACCTCCACCTCTCCAGCTATGAAGAGGAAGTGCTTATGCAGTCTGTTTCTCTTGGAAGACACAGCCACCTCCAGTTCACTGGTCCATGACGTGCACACAGGAAGCTGGGCTTTACAAGAGTTTGCAGGTAGGCAGTGTCGGTTGGGGGCTTGGGGGTGCACGCCGCTCCTTTCCCTGCCCTGCTGAATGTCTCTGGCACTGGGGAAGTGATGTCTCCTGTGGGGAGAGGGGGGATACTTTGTTCTGCAAGTTAAGAGTCTTGGCTTCCAGAATTAAGATGCTGGTGGCTTCTCTCATTGAGTGGTAGCAAGGGGAGTGTCAGCAGTTAAGGTGGGGGCCACAGAATAAGGACTTGGACCCACGCCAGATACCTGGGACTGGTTTGTTATTTTGACGGATGACTCAGAGGCAGCAGGGAGATTTGGTTATGCTTGCCATGCTCAGCTTTTCACACTGACCTTCCTTAGCTGCTCAATCAATTCCTCCATCCCTGCCCCCACTGCTCACCTAGACCCTAGACCTGGGGGACACCTAGACCCTAGACCTGGACTTAACTCCTGGTTCTACCACTAACTGGTTTGTATGATCCTGGGAAAGCTACTTAACTTCCTTGAGCCTCAGTTGCCTCATCTGTTAAATGGGGGGTTCCACATCAACCTCACAGGGTGACGAGGCCTTTCAAGAGCCTCGTGTGGTACACAGAACATAATAAGTGCTCAACTAACAGCTGCCATGATTACTGCTCTCCAGGTGCCAGTGTTCTCACTGAAAAGTGGTACATGTGCATAAATAGAAGATTTACACAATGTTCTGGAAAGAAGATGAATTCCTCTGAGCCTCCTGTGTATGGTGGCAGGTCAGAGGTCTTGGACCACAGGGTGGCTGGCATGACCTCTACTGTTTTTCTCTGGCTGGAAGCTGTTGTTTCTAGACTTCAGTGCCCTCTCTGGGGTAAAGGGTATTATTGGTGTTGATGCTGTTGTAGAAATGAGGACTGAACTGGTTGAGCACCGAGCCCCCATAGCCGAGGGCATTGGTGGTCACGGGGTTGGCCCATTCGCCCGTGCCCCCGTGGCCACTGAGGTTGGTGAGAGGGGTGTAGGAGTTAAAGCTCAGCAAGTTCTGCCCCATCTTGTCCAGGGGCTCAGGGCTCAGTCCTGGCGTGGCCACCGGGCGGCTCATGGGGCTGGAGCCACTCACATAGGTCGTCATGGAGGAGAGGAAGCTGTTGAGACATGGGGTGCCTGGTGGGGGCGGGGAGGAGCGCTTTTCTGGGGAGCCAGTGGTGCCGGGCGAAGCACCGTCCAGGAGGTCCTGGGCCTCTGTGGTCTTGGGGCTGCCCCCCAGGAGACTGTTCTCTGTCTTCTCTGAGGTCAAGGTGCCCATGCTGGAAGACACATCCGATTTTCTCTTTCTCTTCCTGCGGAAATTTCCATTGTCGAACATCTTCTCACAGTTGGGGTCCAGGGTCCAGTAATTCCCTTTGCCTGGGACAAAAGTGGGAGAACATAAGTAGAGAGCCAGACTTGAAGCTTAGCTCCTGCTCCTCCTTATGGTCATAACTAAAGGCAAAGGAAACAGATGCAGAAGACAGAAAACAGCAGGTGGGGGCTAAGAAAGGGAGGGGTTCTCCAGGCCCACCACTCCCACACCCACACCCACTTAGTTAAGCATCCCTTGAATCTAGGGTTTCTGGGGGCACAGAGAAAGGCAGGAGACTCAAAGAAGTACTCAGTGTGGTCCCTTTAAGAAGTTAAGTAATGGGGGGTAGGGGAAGGGGGGTCCTCCATTGTTTGAGTGATAGGAACTCCCTGCAAGTCCTAGGCAAAGTTGGGAGACGGATTTGGGTCTTGGCTTTGCTCCCAACGATGTCAGGGTGCCAGTCTGAAAAGTGGACTGTGCCTTCTTCCTCAGGCTGCTGCCAGGAGGGACATCACCAGATGCATGCAAGGGCTTTGTAACGGTGAGGTCCCACCCCCCAGGGGAGGCCTGAACCCTGCCTGCTGCCTGCTCTCTGCCAGGGTAAGGCCAGCCTGTGGGTGGGTCTCTGCCCTCTGGTGGGGGACTGGGGGGACACAGAGTCCTGCCCTTGCTAGTCTCAGAGTGGGAGGAGGTGGGTGCCTCTACCTGGCTTCCTGAGGTAGAACGAGAGTGGACAATCCCCCGGGACGTGGGTGGATGAGTATTTAATACCGCTATGTTTTTGAAGTGCATCATTACAAGGAAGACGCTCACCACCTTTGGTGTGAGGCTGCCATTCAGATTCACACTCCATCACCAGCACCTCGTGGTGTCACCTCAGGTGGCTGTGGCACCCGAGGGTTATTTCCTCCTCCGTAGAGTGGGTGCGATCAGGGCTACCCTCCAGGGGTGGATTAAAGAGATGGAGTCGGGGGCCAGGCAGCACAGGGGTCCCCTGTAATTGTCACCCCAGTGGGCCTTAGGCGCTTAGGCGCCATCTACCCACATCACTTATCTCCAAGGACTTGCTGTGAACTGTGGGCTGGGGGTCCAGGTAAATCATCAATCACTGTCATCACCCAGCACTGGCGAGCACCAGAGACCTCACATACATCATCTCCTATTCCCACCACAGGCCTACCAAGGCACTCCTGCCACCAGCTCTGTTTTACAGGTGATGAAACTGCAGCTCAGGGATCGAACCTGCCTGAGGTCACAGACCGGTGGGCAGCACAGTCAGAAGAGAGACATCTGTCTCCAGAGTCCGAATTCTACTGCTGACTTCCCTCAGCCCCTAGTCCTGGGGGTGCCGGACACATTCAGACCTTTCTAGAAGGGGCCCTCAGATGGTCTCCCCACCCACGCTTAGCTTACCCGGGTCATCCTCGTCCCGGGGCACCTTCTTGAAGCAGTCGTTGAGTGACAGGTTGTGGCGGATGGAGTTCTGCCAGCCGGCCTTGCTCTTGTTATAGAAGGGGAAGTTGTCGGCCACATACTGGTAGATCTGGCTCAGGGTGAGGCGCTTGTCAGGTGCCCCGTGGATGGCCATGGCGATGAGAGCCGAGTAGGAGTAGGGGGGCCGCACCAGCTTCATCAGCTCCTCCTGTGAGGGGATGGGCAGCCAGCCCAGGTCGCTGCCCCCCAGGCCCGACACGCTCGGCAGCAGCTGTCGCTGTACCCCGTAGGCTTGGGGCAGGAAGGGGCTGGCATTGGGGCTGGGGAGGTAGGGTGGCGGGGTCATGGCTGGCCCATTGAGCCAGAGGTAAGGGTTAGGAGTGGCTCCGTACTCGCCACCCCCCTCAAAGGAGGGGGGCCGCTGAGGGCTGGGCACACCCTGCGGGTGGAAGAAGCTCTCATAGTACAGGTTCATCTCAGGGGGCTCCTGGCCGATGCTGGGGAACTGGGGGCTGCAGCGAGGTGGGGAGGGTGCTGGGAGGTCGAAGGAGCTCATGCTGGGGCTGGCTGGGCAGGAGCCACCTGCCTGGCACCTGCATCAGGAGCTGTCCCTGACAGGTGCTCCGAGGGCCCAGCCTCCCACTGCTTTATACCCCTGTGGGCTGGGCCGGGTGGCCCCACCCAGGGGCGGCTCTGCTGCAGACCCGCCCCTCCTCCAGTGCCCAGTGCCCACTGGAGGGAGGAGGGGAGGAAGGGAGGAAGAGAAGGGGGTGACTTCCCAGCCACCAGGGCAGGTCCTGCTGCTGACAGCCCAGACTGGCTGTCTACCTGCTGTTCATAACAACTGGGCCCCTTTCCTGCCCACCTCCCTTTCCTTGTCCCTGGCTTCATGCTTCCTCTTTTCTCCACCCCCAAGCCTGTCTCTTTTTGTCTCTTTTCCCCCTTTCTCTCCTCAATTTTCCCACCCTTCTCACTTTCTTATCATCCTTTCTGAGTCTTGATCTTTCCTCTCGCTTGCTCTCTCATTGTGTTTCTCCTCTGCTCACCTCTTCTTCTCCTCCCCAGTTGTGTCAGGATCCATGGGGGAATGAATCTGAGGGCTGTGGAATGAATCATGTTTGCAGTGCCTGGGTGCCAGCGGATGAGTTTAGATCCGTGGGTGGAAAGGTCCTTGTGTCTCCCCATGGAAAAGTGAGAGAAGGGTGACTCTGGAGTGTCTGGAGTTAATATTCGTGACTGTCCAGGTGAGGCTTGGGTAGACACACTTGGCATGTCCCTTCAGAAGAGTAAAGCAAAGCAAAGAGGCCCCATTTTTGTTTACAGTTTCTCTACCAGGCCTAGCTTGTTGAGGATGGGACCCCAACTTTTCAAAGAGCTTCACACTGAACCTGCTAAAATGATTGAAACTTCACAAAGAGCCTGGCAAGGGTCACTTCTGATAAGTCACCTTCCTCACAGAATTAAACAGAGCAGTGGATTAGCTACAGAGTGTCAACCCTAGCACTGTTTATGCCCGTAAATAAACTGCAAATCATCTGCATGTCCAACAACAAGGGTGTGCGGGAATGCATTGTATATGACTCAAATGATGAAATATTATGTAGCTGTGAAAAATAGATTACAGAATATTTAGTGATATGGAAAGATGTTAAATTCTAATACCATTATTTGGAGAAATAGGCTGTAGAATGCAATGATTTGGAAGGAGGGGTATAACATATGTATATACTTGTACAGAATGTTCTTGTTCAACGCTTTTTGTTATAATGTTGACAAGAAGAAAGAAATACCAGCTGATGATGAACTAAATGACATTATTTGAGACCTGATTTCATGATATGCTTTTTTGCTTCAAGTCAGTTTTTAAGAACCTTTTGGTGATATTGAGGACTTGCTGTGTAAATACAAACACCAAAACCTGTCAATTCTATCTGGATGGAGAAATGGATGTGATTAAAAGTGTTATTTTTCTGGGCCTCCCCTGGTGGTGCAGCGGTTGAGCACTGGGTTGCGAGGCTGCCCTCAGCCTCTGCTGCTCCGGTTCGTTCCCCAGCCGCTGGCGAGAGTCCTGCAAAAAAAAAAAAAAAAAAAAAAAAAAAAAAAGTTATTTTTCTGTAGTTTCATTTAAATGATTAGAGAAAGATCAATGTACAGGTGGTTTGCTTTGGGTTTACGTTAAAAGGCCAAAAGCAGCAGTGATAGTGGAAATAAATCTGACACAGGTTTGGCACTGAAGACCTGGGTCCAAATTTCATGTTTGCTTCTCAATAGCTGTGCAGACCTTTAAAGCTGATGAAACTTCTCCACCTCAGTTTTCTCAGGTGAAGATGAAAAGGATGCCCCAACATCACACCTGCTGTTGCTATGAGCATGCAGTGGGGGTAATCAGTGCACTCAATGCAAATCCTTTTACATGGTGCCTGGATGGTGCACTTAATGAATATTTTTTTTAAAGATTTATTTGTTTTTGCATACAAGAGCTGGGGTACAGGCCAGAGGTGCAGGGGGGTGAGAGGATTTACCAGAGACAGAGTGGAGAGCAGAACAGGCAGACTGACTGAAATGCACTGCTGAAGGGAGCAGCGGGTGAGTCAGGAGAGGTCTGCTGTGCCATGTGTGTTGCTCCCTGGCTGGCTGGGGATTGAACTCATGCTGCAGAGGCTGCAGACAGCTTCATGAAGTACAACCAATTTCATCTGATATGTGCAATCAGTTGATTGGGTTCTTTTTCAGCAGCCTCAGGCAGGGGAGGTGTGGCAGATGTGTTTACCAGCAGGTCAGAGAGCTGGGAATGCTCCCTGCAGATATGTATTGTGTGGCCAGACCCTACCCTCTTCAAGTGACATCAGAGTGGGCCTCCAGTCATATGTCAGTTCACAGTTGAGCCAGGTAAGGACCCGGTCCCTTTCTTCCATACCTTTTACCTATGGCAAGAGTCTCCTTTTTAGTGGAGACTAAAAAGTGAGCCACCCTTGTCACCCTGGTCCTGATTTTTGTTTCCCACAGATCAGAGGAAGCCAGGTCTATCTTAGGAGGCCTTCCCCATGTTGTGCTTGGGGCTCCCAGTATCCAGTGACCCAGGATCACAACCCCTCAGGCTACTCACATCTCATGCCACACAGCCCAAATCATCCCAGATGTCCCTGTTCCTCCCACAGTCCTTGGGGGTGGGTGATGGGAGCTGCCCGTCCCTAGTCCAAGGGAGGTTTGGAAGTTAAATCCAATTACTCCCAGCCCCAGGTCCTATGGGAAAAGGATGGAATATCTACACACTAGAGTCATTTTGTGGATGAAATTATTTTAATTTTCCAAAAGTGGGAACCCAAACCTGAGAAAGCATGTCCACTTGATCTTGGGTAAGAACTTAAAAGCTGGGCGGAGGGGTTTGAGCCAGTCTGGGTGACAGAGGCTACACTTGACCTATTACAGTTCTGAGGGGGCCTTCTTGAATGGGAATGACCATATGCTCTGAACCCCACACTGGCATGTCTGGGACAAGGCAATAGTGCCTGAAGAACATGGGCCCGGGTTTGGGTTTGGGCGGCACTGGGTTTACACTCCTCGCCTCCCCTCCTCCACCCTACACACAGTTGTCAGCTGTGTGATTCGGCCATGTTTCTTAACCGGGCCTCAGCTTGCTTACCTGTTCAGTGGAGCTGCAAACAGCCCCTGTCTCCTGTGCATTTTCAAGGTCAGAGTGATGTGACATGTGTGAAGTGAAGATCCCTGGGCATGGCCAAAGCTGCTGATGAGGATGATGGTGAAGAGGGCCTGGTGATGGCGGTAGGTGTTGACAGGGAAGCGGCTCTTGGCAGAGGTCCAGCATCTAGCTTCCTCCAGTCACAGTTTGACCATTTGTCTCACCTTGGGACCATCTGGCCATCGGGTGTGACACCTGGACACTGGTCACTCTTTGGGTATGTGCCCAGTGACCAGCTGTCTGTATTACAGGGTCCAGAAGCCTGTGGGAAGGGTGAATGTGTGGCTCACCATGACCAGCTCCCCTGGCCTTGATACTCAGGGGCAGGGTCCTGTAGGAAACTGGCAGGGGAAGATGAGCCAGAAAGAAAGGAGAAGGTTGGGCTCTGAACTGGCTGCAGCTGCTTGGAGTAGTGCTGGGAGCAGAGGGCCCTGTAGCCAGTTTTTGGTTCCCATCCTGATTCTACTCTTGGGGTATTATAATACCTAATAACAGTCAATTGTTCTCAATTTCCTCTTCTATAAAATGGGAAGACCAGCCCTGGAGGAGTTACCTTAAGGATTTAAATGCCAGGCACTTAGCATCTGCTCAGTAAATGTGAGCTGAGGGGAGATGCCAGCACTCTACCAGCCTTGGCTGCTCCAGCCCAAGTTCTTAGAACTTACTGACCTGCTTTCCCCCATTTAGCTAGGATTGTGCTTCTAGGTTCCTCTGCTTTCTACATATGAATGCAGAATGGCCTCCAAGCTTCAGGAATTCCAGAAGCCTGATGGGGGAAGTAGGCTGGGATGAGGAATCAAGGCATTAGTTGGCTCCTCGCTTAAACTGTCTGAGCCACACTTTCTTCATCTGTAAAATGGGGATATGAAACCATGGTTTTCCTATCTAATATCTGCAAACGGTTCTCTGTAAACAGCCATGAGTAGTTATCAGTTTCCTGCCTGGGCTTCAGTGCTCATGAAAGCTGGGTCGCAGTATTCCTTGGGGCTTGCCTGGGCGCTGGTTTCCTGCCCCAAGGGTGGGTTTTGGGAAGTCTGTCTGAAGCTCATGCTGATGCTATCTGCTGCCCTCCGTGTCCCAGGCGCCAGAGGGTGAAAAACATGGGGCAACCCCGCCCTCTGGTGGCCATCTCTTTAAAAGCCGGGAGCAGAGTATGAGATTGGGTGACATTTCAGGACAGGGGTCAAGGGTTTACGAGCCCTTTCAATAAAGGGACAGAGTCCCGTGATGGACAACAGCTTCAAGGAGGAAATGCACCCCTGAGAAAAAGTGTCTCAGCTCTTCTATTATGAAAATATTGGAAACTGGGTTGGCAATGGGGCAAAATGTCTTAAGACGCCCCCAGGCAGCTGTTGGACTGGCTGAATGAGAATCTGACTCCTCCAGTCCTATTTTCTGAGTGCTATGACAGCATTAGTCGCAGAGCCTCCGTTTTCCAGGAGGATGCCCAGGGTTACTTCCCTCAAAAAACTGTTGCAAGGGCTGAATGTGATGAGAAGCAGCGGAAATGCCTTTGAAGTCATGCCTGGCAATAATTCACTCCTTCACTTTTTCAACAGATATTGATCTATTGTCTGCACAGGAGCATTTCCGGGCTGGGGTGCAGGACTCTGTCACTCAAAGCCATGCCATGTCGAGGCTCATGGCCTCTGATTTGTGCATCTATGAGCAGCACTTAGAGTTTGTTGTACTTAAATTTTTTAAAATTGCCTCTCACACTGTTTTTAACTCCATAAATTTAAAATGTTATTTTATTTACTATTTTAATTGACGTAACATTACAATCTGACATCTGTGCACAGTACATTGTAAGCCTCACTTAAAGTCTGTTTTCCATCCACCCCTATATAACTGAC